TTGAGCCATGTGAAAATATACCTGCTACCTTCATACAAACAAGTCCAGCTTTCACAAGCCAACAGCAAGAAAATACACATTAAAATTTTTGCTGAGTCAAAATAATCAACAAAATAAAACAAAACCAAAAAGTCTGCTTCTTTTAACCATAAAAATTGTTTTAAAATATGTTTTTAAATGTCATTTTGATTTATTATGCAAATCTCAAAACTTTAAGTACTGAAACAAATTTTGACTTCATTACGTCTATTTGAACAGAAAAAAATTTCAGAATTCAGTGTGGACTTATCAAAATTGCTTTCCTTGTTCTGAAATGGCATTTCTACAAATAAGTTACGTATTGAGAGAACCCCCAACTCCCAAATTCTAGTAACTGCCATCCTAAATCTGCATATGTTAAAGGCATTAACACTTCTCACTCTAGAGTCCACATAGCATTTAAGTAAAAATACTTTCCACACTGACATCTAGTGAAGCTTTACAGTAAGAAGAAAAAGCCTTTTCTAATACTTTGCACTTACATAAAGCTTTTCATCTTCCAAATTACCTGTATTTTAGATTACTAGAATTTGCAATGGATTTGTACATCACGTGCCGTTTTCTTTTGAAAGATATTTTTTAATAAGTAACATATTTACCTGCCAAAGGCTCAGACATTCTCATGGGTACATTAGAGACAGTTATAATGGCAAGATCTGGTGTAATTAAATTCATAACATGAGTAGCAAAGTTACTGTTTTCCTATTATGCCAGATACACTTCTAAGGGCTAAACATGCAACATTGACAAAACAACTCTACTAAATTCAGTGGGAATTATGAATGTAAGATGTCTTATAAGTGTCTAAAATGTATGAATTAAAGCAAGTTATCTCTCTTTCTCTGTGCAGTACCCAGAAAGCCTGTATTCCTACATCACCTCTGTAATCAATGAAGAGAGAGACGTTAGTTCTCTCTCTTTCTCTGTGCAGTACCCAGAAAGCCTGTATTCCTACATCACCTCTGTAATCAATGAAGAGAGAGACGTTCCTCTGGGAACACCTAAATTAGTCTCCTGCTCTGAATCATCCCAGCCCTTACACTTGGTACATACACAGTCTTTGAGAGTGTAGAAGTGGGGGGACTGGTAGGGAGAGCTTTTGAGTTCTTGGTCCCACAAGCTGCCTGTCCTACTCACCCAGCCATGACATTCAGTCCCAGATCCCTTCTGCCCTCCTTGAGCTGTGCTCCAGGGAAGCAAAACATAACATTGTACCAGCTACAACATTAATTTCAGCGCTCATTAAGGTTCTAAAGGCAAAGTCTCATTTTTATGCCTCATCAAAAAAAGGCAGTTAAGCACTCCCTGACACAACATACAGGAGGTTCAGTGCTGACTGTGGGGAAAATGTATCACCTACTGAATCACAAGCAAACCTATAAATGCTTTCTGCAGTGACAGATATTTGAAGAGAGACAGATTATGCATTTTCCCCGCTCATTAGTGATTGTACTCCAGATCTGAGTTTGGGATCTGCTTTTTCACGACTGCTGCATAGCTGTGGTTTGCAACAGAAACGACTGACTTGACTCTTTCTACCCTCAAAACTCAAAGGACAAGAAAGGGAAAGTCCATTTAGACAGAGATTGCACTTAAAATGGAAACATTCCTGGGCAAAGGGTTTTCAACACTTTCTTGGTAAAAACTGTAGCAAACTACTGTTCAGCAGTGCAAAAAACCCTGATCTAGAGACTGGGACCCCCATACTTCTGTTTGAGTTTCAATCTGCTGACACCATGGCTATTGGCTTCACAAGATGAGCCTGGAAAGCTAGATGTTTTCTGGCACTTGAGGGAGGTGAGGGGAAAAACAGCTGGATATTAAATTATGTTTTGGCTAAAAGCTGCCTGAAGCTAAATTATACACTTGTAATCACTTCAATTGCAAGGCAAAAATGCTAGTAATTAATTGTGGCAATGTGACAGGATTTAAAGCAACAAAACAAAATTCTTGGTATATAAAATGTAAAAATCTGAAAGCTATCAACACTTTATGTACTGAAATTAGTTCCACTTGCCATGGCATCAGAATGAGTTCCTCCGGTTAATAACCTTCTCTTCATCTGAATCTAATCTTGAGAACAGAAACACTATCAAGAATTATGAAATGGGAAAATGGCTTCTGTTTAAAACAAGGAACTCTTAATACTTGCATTCTATTTTGTATTTCATCACAGAGAAGCTCAATAATCTGAGATAAAGCTGCCAGATTTCCAGGCTTCTCCAGACACAGCCCCTTTTTTCACACAGAAATCCCGTCCTGGAAAAAAAATAAATAAATACAAGTTTGGCCATTAGCCTGGAACTTCCAGATCCTGGGCAGCACAGTCAGGTCCAATGTGGCTGCTTGATGCTTGGAAATCCTGGGCAATGTACACCCACTACATTTCGTGCATCCAAACAGCCACCTTGTGTGCAGAACATACTGAGCACGATCCCTTTACTGAGTACTCCTGAGTAAGACATGCCAGACAGGATCCAAATTCTGTCCTGAATTTCCTGGACATAAATATGAGAGCCCTCACTGTAATGAAATCTTCTAAATGCATCCACAACTTGCATACGCCTATGAGAAAGCTGGACCACCACATAGGGTCACCAAGGTGGTTTACTAATTCAGGAGAGGTAAATAGCAATGGGCACATACATGTTAGTACATACATCCCAAGATTCAGAACTAGATTTGCAGGGACCTAGCACCTGGTGGTGCAGCAAAATCCACAGCCTGAATTAGGCTTCTTTAATTTAAAAAAAAATTAAAAAAAAAGAATAAAAAAAAAGGCAAAAGATGATTTAGATGCTTAGAAAGGGGGTACACACTGAGCAGCAATTAGAGCAGCAGTAACTACAGACTGACAGGAGGAAAGGCTGAAGAGAGTTTGTAAGTACTAGGCAACTTATCCTGAGATTCGAGACGACACCTCTTTCCAGTTCGGATTCATAGTCTTTAGCCATCTCAGAGTGAGGTGGACCAGGTTTTGTTTGTGTGTTTTAAAGAAAAAGAACAAATCCCTCATTTCAGAGAAAGAACAAAAGAAGCGGG